GCCTGCAGGGCTACAGCACTGTGCACCTCCGGGAAGCGTCGCTCGCGCTGGTCTGTGTAAAAGGAACTCCTGGTAAACAGCCCAATATTGAAGACTTGCTCATACAGATGTTTAAACGTTTCTAAGACGCTACAAAAACACTCAATATCCAAGTAGGTACTTGTTCCCATCCCAAGAAAGCAAATAGACCTGTAAATCTAAAAGTTAAATGGTGCCTCTGTGACCATTCTCCCAAAGTAATTTAACTATATTGGCATTGGGGCTGGAAAGGAGACAGGCAGATCATGTCATATCAAACACTATGTGGATTCACTATTATAAACTAGAGTCCCACAAAGTTGTCATGCAGATGGGTGAGGTACAGCATTCCAGTTCAAAACCTTTACACAAATGGGCACAAGATGACTTATCTAAAACCTTTAGCAAGCAGCAGTTTATATTCAAATGACCTGCATGAATTCTTTTTCCTTCCTATCACTATACATATTCATGAGTCACACCATCAGCATAGAATGATAGCCAAAGCAGAGAAGAGAAAAATCCCATTACACCAAGGAGACAATTTCCTTGGTTAATGCAATCAGACCATGGAACCTCATTCCCTGTTAATCTGAATTCATATCAAGTAGGTAATAAGCTTTAGTCAGTCCGTGATCAAAATTAGATACTTACAAAATGAGTTTCTGGCAAGTCACAAAAATTTATTTTTGCCAAAATTATTTAGTGCAGGAGGCTTTTCAAACATCCATTTAGTTGATATTCAATCAAGACGAACGAGATAAACCCAATTTCTAAAATCGCATCTCATAAACCTGATTCCTAAAGCCATATTTTACAATCTTGATTTCTAAAATCACATTAAACCATGTTTTACTAGGTTTTGTGTAAGTAGCAGGCAGTGTCTGCTGAGGAATTGTTTTTCTTTTATTTTTGGATTTACTGGGAAAGTTGCAAATATAACTTGCTAAGACACTTACTTATCAAGACAGATCATTTAAGGCCAAATTACCTTGTTGCTTAAGAGAGAAGGACAGAGGAAATAGATCAGTGCTGCTTTTAGTGTGATGGCAGAGACTGGTGACCTAAGGAGGGTTTCCCACACTTACCACGAGGATCACCAAGGAAGCTGCTTTGGTGAACAGATGCCTAGGCTGCAGTTCTGGAAGTGCCGATTTGGGAGGACAAGGAGGAGGCTCAGAGATGAATGCTATTAAAAGTCCTGCAAGTGATTATGCACTAGCCAACTTAGCATGCTGTGTTGCCAGGGAAGGTGTTATGTATCAGGGTGGACTTTGAGGGCATTTGAGCATGCACGAAGCCTTAGGTTCCACCTCTAGCATGGCATAGTAATACACTCTTTTAATACCAGAAGGTGGAGGCAGAAGAATCTGAAGGTGGGGGTCATCCTCAGCTATGCAGGGAGTTCTAGGTCTGCCTGTGCTACATGAAATTCTATCTCAAACAATACTAGAAATGCTAGCTTGTTAGTGAATTCTTCTTACTGGGGCCAACCTAACTGGTGCTGCATTGACTCAGTTGTAAAGGCAGAATTAAAAGAACCAAAAATGAAAATGGTTTGGTTTAAGCCCACAAACTCCATGAAGGTGGAGAGAAGGTAGATTTTGGTTGATGCTCTGTCTCCAGCATCTAGCTCAATGCCTGGCACAGAACCAGCTCCTCCCAGTGTTTCTTGACCCATCTATCCTTCCCATGAGCTGAAACTGTTCAAAGATAGTCAATAAAGCAGTGCATCAGGTCCACTATTTAGAAAATAAATGAAATGAGCAGGACCTCCACCCTGTTACCCAGCCTTAGGGCAGCACTGTGCCCCATGAGCTCTGAAAACACTTGACTTGGGCGACTTCACTTTTTATCTTTCAGGACTGTGATGGCTAAAGGTCACAGACTCAGAGACATTTGGCATAGTGTTTGGCTCACAGCGTAGATGTTCCATAAAAGTGACTTGAGGGGTTTCAGGTGTAGCTCAGCAAAGCCCTGGGTTCAACACGCAGCCACAAAAGTAACTGGAATCCAGAAAAGCCGGCAAACCATGGGAAACAGAGCAGGGGGATCTTTATTCTTGTTATGAGTCAGGTGTTCCATAGGCACAGTAAAATCTTCGGGATTTTCATGTCAAAACATATTCTCAAGTAACAAGTCCAGGACTGTCAGAATTTCTACCATACACAGATTGTACAGAAATAAGCACTTTAATGGTTTATGGAAGGAAAAAAGAAACTTTGAAAACCCAGTTTTTAACACTTCACATTTATTTAAAACAAGATTCTTAGTGGATTAAAATAGTACCAAGTCACTAAGCCCCACTTCCTTGTATTGCATATCTAATGTAACTTAAGAGAAGGGCTTTTCATGCATGGCCCCCAGGCCTGTGACATCAGCATCATCTGGGAATTTGTTTCAAATGTAAATTGAGTCACAGCACACATCTTAAGTTAGTAGTTGAGAATTTGAGAGCCCTCCAGAAGAGAAACTCTGACTTAAGATGGGGAAAATGAGTAAGTTTGGTGTTGGAGAGATGGTTCTGACACGTAGAGCCCACTCTGCTCTTGCAAAGGACCGGGGTTTGCATCCCAGCATTGATTTCAAGGAGTTCATAAAAGCCAGTAACTCAAGCTCCAAAGAAGCCAACATCTCTGGCCTCTGCAGGCACTTGCACTGATGTACATGAACTCACACAAAGACACACACACATAAAGATATTAGTTTATAGAAGGCTGAATTCAACTTTCCAGATACCTGCTACCATGTGAGAACAGAGACAACCACATCATGCTTTCTGTCCACTGCTTTCCATACATCCAACTAGTAAACATATAAGCCACTGAGTATCACTGAAGGCTAACTTCCTCTAAAAACAACCCCTGAAATACTGACCTGGAAGGAAACATCTTAATCACTGACTTTTGGTGTAGAGTGAAAAATTATGAAGATCATTTTATAAAATGATCTATAGATTCTTCTTTAGGTTTTTTCTTAAAAGGCATGGAAAATGTTTTCTGAAGCAGGCTAAGAATGTGGACCGGCCAGTTACGGGAACCAGCTAACCACAAAAAGAGAACACAAGTCAGCTAGGTGGAACCAGGAAGCTGGTAACCACAATGACAGGGCAAGGCAGCAGTGACAGGGCAGGACCACATTTTTGAGAAGAATAGATATACAGAGTATTCTTCACATGACCCTGACTCAAGTAGGTTGGTTTCCTCTGGAATTCTTCGCTATTTTTATGATTCTGTCTCCTTAACAACCCCCTCGCCCCTCCTCACCCTGGTTTGCATTTTCTCCTTTAAATACCCCTTGCTCCCAAGCCTCGTGGTCAACGCTCCCTTTGTGAGTGTTGGCCTCAGTTGACTGATACCCCGAAATCCGGAAATAAAGCCTTTTGCGGTTTGCATCCAGTTTCGGTGTCTTGCGAGTTATTAGATGGTCGTGTCATCCTGAGACTTGAGTGAGGGTCTCCCCTGAGTGGAGGTCTTCATTAGCATACTCAAGTCTTTGCTTATCAATTTAGTAAACTAATATATAATTTAGTAAAATATGAATGTTTGGTATTAAAATATTGCCATTACAAAATTTAAGTTGAACACCAAAATATAAACAATAATAAAATAAAACTAAAGATACACGGTACAAAGGCACAAGTTTGCTTTCTTAGTGATACATGACATTCTAAGAAAAACATTCATTTAGTTGTATGTTCTAGGTGACAACTTTCAGATACAGAGTTCTGCAAATCTTAAAATTATGGTGTTCTCAACCAGACACCCTGAGAAGGGAAAGGTGTGACTCCAAGGCCTAGCTGAGAGTGCTGCTAATGAGGGAGACTGATTGTCCACTCCTCCAGCCTTTGGTCACCAGCTGAGGAACCTGAAAGTGTCTACACAAGTATTGTCCACTCTATATCCATCTGTAGCTTGAGAGAGTATTTTGCCCAAACACTAACACGTATTCAAGAGAAAAAAGTTTGACTTACAGCAGCATTGGAGAGGAAAGGAAAAGTACTAAGCCTGGTCATTTCTGTTGTACAAAAGGTTTATTCATTAGGTCGGCACAGTATCTGGCCAAAGAGTGAGGAGATTAACGAGACTTAGATTGGCTGTGATTCTTTCCATCACACAGATGATATGTTCATAGCAATGGGGTGGGAAGGAAATCAAGAAAAGGTTTTTTTATGTTTGTTTTTTCAACCAGGGATCAGTTCTCAGTGTTAGGGAGAAGGGAGCTGTAGTCCTCTTTAAGCTGCTGTTGTAAGCCTAGAGTCCTGACCTGACTGACACTGCTGTCTTATGTTTGGCTATGGAAAGTCTGGGAGACACTGCGTAAGCACAGGCTGCTCCGGTCTGGAATGGGCAATGTCCTGCCAGGCTCTGCTACATTAGTTGGTTGATTGATTGACTGACTGATTGATTGATTGACACTGTATTGAGATATGTTAAAAGCTGGAATAATTTAGGCCATACAGTAGTAGCCTTGTTCTCTTTGGTCACACGCCCTTTAGACCAGTGCTTCTCTAATATTAGGATGTAGTACAATCCATAAAGGACTTGTAAAAAGTGCAGGAATCTGGGCCAGACAGTAGAAGACCGATTTAGGCAGGGAAAGGACAGGACTCTATGTAAATGGAACCTTAAATCTGCATCCAGGTAGCCTCTAGGTCATGGTTTAAAACACAACTTGAAATTGCAGTAGATATTTCTTTATCCATTTGGTGCTTAACATAATTCCCACAAGATGTTTCATCTATTTTAACAGTAATAATAATAAACAATAATAGCAATCTTAGAAAATAAAAAAAAAGAAGTTTGACTTAAACATGTACATATATAAAATGTATTCTATATATGGCCATACATACATTTAAGAATCTATGTATGTATATATTTATAAGAAACAGAAGCCAGGCATGATGTACTATACCTAAATTAATACCACTGAGGAAGCTGAGGCAGAAGGATTGCCATAAGTTCAAGGCCAGCCTGAGATACAGAATAAGACCTTCTCAAAACAAACAAATGCACACCCTCACATGTGCACGCAGAGTGGGGAAGAGGGAGAGGGAGACAGAGGAGAGTGTCTATGCATAATATCTCCTAGTCAGGAACACTAAATGGCAGGGTGCTGATGACCTCGCCAGACTCAGTGACGATGGCATCATAGACCCAGCGGCGGTTGCACCGGCACTCTGGCCCACACTTGTTGGAGTTGCACTTGGGGCACGGGTAGAAGCACCCCAGGCAGTTCTTCTCCAGGCAGTCGCACAGGTCCACATCGTTACAGATCAGCCTGCCACTTTTGTCATACTTCTTCATCACCCTGCAGAGAAGAAAATGTCACTCTCGAGTGAGCTAGCGCTGCTGCCCCCTCCAGGGGAGGAGAGAATGCATATCGTGTCACATGCATGGACCCACTCTCAGCGGACTGCATCCCTGACGTTATCAGAAACAGTCCACTGTGTGTAACAGCCGTGGTAAGGTGAGATAGTCAGCCAGTAAGCGCAGCCAGGACTGTTGCTGAGAACAACTTAGGTGTCCAGCATTTCTGGAGCATCTAATCATCCATGTAAAAGGACTGGAATAGCTGGCTGAAGCTTCCAGCTAAAACGGTTCTACATATCCCTCTAAAATATCAGCAGGTTGATCATAGTTTCCTGTTGGGGAGGGGGGTCCCTGCAAACATCATAACCAACAGAACGTCAATCCCCATGAGGCAAGAAGGAAGTCTGGTTCAACACAGCTCAGTAGTCAGTGTTGGTTTAAATTTCTGGAGTCTGACTCTAGACAGTTTTTTAGGCATACTTAAGTAAATGACAATTTGGAAAAGAAAGTTTCCCAGTGTAACACAATCTCATGTGCACAATAAAGATTACAGTATAATTACATCAAAATTCTTTTCAAAGTATAACCTCTTCCGCGAAGATGGATTCTACAGATAGACTACACGTGTAGGGGCCTGGAGGAGGATCTAGTGTGGTCTCTGTCATACAGGAAGTACAAAGGTCACAAGGCTATAAACCATCCCCAGTCCAGTAGGTAAGGGTGAGGGGAGGTGTGGCCTGGCCCTACAGAATGGTTCCTGCTTCTGGGAACAGGAGCTAGGTAAGGTCTGGCCATACAGATAGTGCAGAAGTCACCAAGCTATTAACCACATCCACTCCCAGATTTCTGGATGGAAAACAAGTACTACAGCCCTTCCATTGAGGAGAGAACCCTGCGTGTTTAACATTCCTGGTTCCCCTAGAGCAATTTGAGCACAAAGGCTTCATGCTCTTCACAGTTTTATCTACTGATTTTGTACTCTTTTTCTCTTTTAAAAGTACTCTAGTCAAAACGACTACTTTTCTGGGCAGTGGTGGACTTTAATCCCAGCACTTGGGAGGCAGAGGCAGGCGGATTTCTGAGTTCGTGGCCAGCCTGGTCTACAGAGTGAGTTCCAGGACAGCCAGGACTACACAGAGAAACCTTGTCTCAGAAAAACAAAACAAAACACCCAAAACTCTACTACCTTTCTTAATGACTCGAGATAAAGCTTATCAGTTACTGTATCATAATAATCATTAAGGGGGCGGTGCTATTGGCAAAGGTTCCAGGTGCCTTCTCTTCTGTTTCTTTATGACTATGTTACCATCAGTGTGGACAGAGAAAACAAAGGAGACAGTAGTCTGTATTGTAAGGGGCCCACTGAACTCGACGTGTTCAGTGCCAGAGGGCAGCACCACAGTCTTCAGATCCCCACACTTTCTCTGTCCAACTCTACAGCATTCCCAGGAGTGAAAAGACTTTTACAAGAACTTTACCTCACACTCAAAACCAAACCACTTTTGTTATATCCTTCAAAACTGATCTGCTTGTGAGCCTCGGGAGCGGCTTGTATCGCTGATCACCGTGAGCTCCAAAGGCTGGCACTGCACTCTGTGATCACAGTGGGTACTTCTGCAACCTTTGTGCCCAACCAACCCCTCCTCTCCTCCTGTTCAGTTTAAGTAGCATACTTCCTCCCTTTCCCTCTTTTCCAAGAAAAGTAAGAAAGGGTGAGAAACAGCCTCTGTTAGATTACAGGTGATTCCATTACATTGCTCCCAGGGACCTAGCAACTGCTTACGTCATCATCATGCGCCAGGCGTGGGCTGTGTATAAAAGGACTGCCCACTGCTCCAGCTTTTTCTAATCCCAGCATTCTCTCCCAGTTCTCTGCCCTCATGGCTCTGCCCTGTCTGCCCCTACCCGTTCTCTGGGCCCTCGCGCCTCTCCCTTATACCAGATCTGTTGCATGGTGTAATTACTCAAGGGCATACCTTGCAACATATTTCATAACAGCCTTATAATCAGACATTAACAGGGCTGCCTTATAATTAAAACACTTTTAATGTATTTGAATTTATCAACCTTTTCCTTATGGTTTGCTTTATATTGATATATATGTGTATATATATGATTGTATATTTAATCTTTTAATATATAATATATATGTGTATATATAGTATATATATACATATATGTATATATATATATAGTATATATATATTTAAAATTATGCATGTATGGGACAGGAGAGAAAGCTCAGTGGCTAATTAACAGCCCATACTGTTCTTCCACAGGACTTGAGTTCAGTTCCCAGCATCCACCTAGGATGGCTCACTCTAGTTTCACGGTGAGCTGATGCCTCTGGCCTCTATGAACACTTGCACTCATACATTCACAGAATTAAAAACAACACATATAAATAATTTTTGTTTGGCTATAAAAAATACAAGTATTTTATTGTACTGCCACTTTTCCTTAAAGAGAATTAGCTAAAATTTTATTTTTAAAGCAATTATAAAAGATCAGCACAACTACATACCATATTTTATGCTTAAAAAATGAGGGAGGGGAATTATAATCAGGATGTGTGGTATGAGAAAAAAGTCTATTTTTATAGATTCTAGTGCTGAGACTAAAGGTATGCACCACCACTGCCTAGCACGTTTCCCTTTTTGTTTGTTTGTTTTTCCAGACAGGGTTTCTCTGTGTAGCCCTGGCTGTCCTGAAACTTGTTCTGTGGACCAGGCTGGCCTTGAACTCAAGAGATCTGCCTGTCTCTGCCTCCTGAGTGCTGGAATTAAAGGCATGTATCACCATGCCCAGCTAAAGAAAAAAATCTGTTTTCAATAATAGGAAAAAAATTAAAAAAATAAAATACCATCCTAGTGATGGCTTATGTCATCACCTTTGGAATATTTGAAAATCTCAAATTTTAAAAATATGCACACACGCATGCTACTGCAATGTGTGGAAACCCCTCCCAAAAGCCGTAAAATGGTGTTGGATTCCCTAAATTCCCTGAATTTACAGGCAGTGTGAGCTGTCTCCAGGTATTTTATATACCCATGCATTAACAGTGGTTGTAGTTAGTGATAGCATGGTACCCACTCAATATCCCAAATCCATTCCTACAATCACATGATTTTTCCTTTTAATGATATTTCTTTTCTACTAAAAACATTGCTTTGGTACAAAACCATTTTTTAAAAGGTGATTTTTAATTTGAGATTTACATACCTCTCCTCCACCCCCCACAGTTTCCACTAAATAACCTAAGCTGTCTTTGAACTTAGGGTCTTCCTGCCTCTGCATTCAAGGGCTGGCATTCCAGGAATGTGCCACACCCTGCTCTCAACTTGTTTCTTAAAGATGTTAACATCCAGACCTCTGAGGTCTTAGTGTACTATAGCAGAAAATTGTGAAAGCATAAAAGATGTAACCTTCAATTACTTTGCTTTAAAACCAAGGAGAACATATGCAATCTGTACATTGCAAAATTGATCCCATCAATCAAATATGGTCTTACTTGTACTTCACAGAAAAATATTCATTCATCTTCGACATCCGCGCTTTCTTTTTCTGCTGCCTTGTCTCAGGGTTAAAATCTGCCACCTGCGGTCCAGGGTTTTGAAATGCCAAGCACTTTAGCTGCCGTTCTATCTGTTGCTATGAGATCAACAAAGTGTTTTAGTAGTTGTGTTCATTTTACATTCTTTCAAAATCTACGGCCTATAGCTCTTATCAAAACAGCAAGGAAGCATTTTGTTTTATAAAGGAGAATCAAGAGTTTTATCCGACTTCAGTTTCAAAAGGCAACTTCTCAAATCAGGCTATTCTCTCTAAAGACAGAGTATAAAGGGCATGTAACAAAAATGAGAGAAAGCATCAAGAGGGAGCAAAACACGTGCTTACCTGCGAGTCACCAGCCAGCCTTGCAAACCTCACAGAACAAACTCCAGAACTAGCTTTTCTTGGGTATAAGGTCAGAGTAGTAATGGGACTCCCCAACCATCACTGAAGAATCTCATTTACTGTGTGTGATGATTTGAATATGCTTGGCCCAGGGAGTGGCACTATTAGGAGGTGTGGCCTTGTTGGAGTAGGTGTGTCGCTGTGAGCATGGCTTAAGGCCCTCACCCTAGCTGCCTGGAAGTCAGTCTTCTGCTAGCAGTATTCAGATGAGGATGTAGGACTCTCAGCTTCACCTACATCATGCCTGCCTGGATGCTGCCATGTTCCCACCACTGATGATAATGGACTGAATCTGTAAGCCAATCCTAATTAAATGTTGTCCTTAAAAGAGTTGCCTTTGTCATGGTGTCTCTTCATAGCAGTAAAACCCTAAGTAAGACACCGTGTCAAAGCCATGAGAAGCCACAGCACACATCATCCTCCTTGCCCAACTCTGGCTTCTGAAACGGGTCTCAGAACCATGCCCTGTCTTGGCCTTCACACATACCATCAGGTTCCAAAAGAGACAGTGGTACCCAGAGTTGCTTCTCAATCAAAGCCAGATTTAAGCAAGCGAGATCTTGCTAGGACAACTTTCTGGAGTGTTAGGGGAGATTTTCAAAAGTCTTTGGGGGATGTTGGTATTTACAAACAAAATGGGACCTGATAGTGAAGACAAGAAACCAAATACTTCAATCAACATGGTGGCGTGGGACTGGAGAGCGTCCAGAGCTTAAGTGCTGGCTGTTCTTGCAGAGGATGGGGTTCTATTCTCAGCACCCACACGGTGGCTCAAAACCATCTATTACTCCAGCTTTAAGGGTCCCAATAGCCTCCTCTGGCCTTTGCAGGCACCAGGCTCTTGTACATGGGATACACAGACACACACCCCCAGTCAAACATTGATCTACACACAGTAATAAAAAGGTGACTTTTTATTATTGCTATCATTGTTTCTTTCTTTGAGACAGGTCCCACACTAAAGTAGGCCAGCCTAAAATTCACTGTGTATCCAAGGCTAGGCTTGAACTTGTGACAGTCCTGCTTCAGCATCTCAAGTGCCGAGACTACAAGTGTGTGGGCTACAGCCAGTGTGAGGACATTTTCTAAGCATGTAATAAGATATATTGTAGGAAAAGAAATATTCTTCTGAATGTATTTAGAAGAAAATAACCTGAAAGTTCACAGACTGCCTTCCACTGGAAATTTGATCCCTAGAAACAAAAGGGACACTTGTAGCTTAGCTAGTTTAATAGTCCAGGTAGCCTATCTAGAATAATATAAGCATTTCTGTAAAGTTTTATCGTGATAGGGGTGCATTGGCTTGTTTTACAGACTTACTCTATGCAATAGCTCTACACTTGTGTATAGCTACGAAGAGTGTAAAACCTAGCACTCGCAACTCCTGTTCAGCTTCATATTGATAAACTAAAAATGAACAGAGCAGACAAGACTACTGCTGTCCCTGGTTCTACACATTGTAAATTAGATAAACTGCATAAGTTCTTCTCTGAGCCTTAGTGGTTCAGTCTTGTTAAATAAGAGTAATAGTATCTTGCGATAAGACTTAGGTGAATCAATCTGCACAAAGTATTTAGAACAAAATGTAAATTTGTTAACTAAATAGAGACAATTTGACTAGATTCTTTCCAAGTACTCTATTGTGAGGACCAGACTTAGTGTTACAAAGCAAAGAGGAAATTTGTCAGACAATCCCAACAGCTGGAGAGCAAAGTTCTTTCTTGGGAAGTCCTGACAGGCTGACCTTCTGCCTGGCCTTCTGCCACATCCACAGACACCTCAGACATCCCATATTAGAAACGTATCGAATAACAGAATCATTAAATTTGTGTGTTATACCAGTTGCTTCTGTCCAATCTGACTGCTTTTCTCTGGAAATGTGTGGTTTGTGCGCTCCTCTTGAGTGGAGTTGTTCTTATGTGATGGTTCAGTCATTTTGACAACTATCTAAAAAAAAAAAAACAATTGGAAAGAAAGGAAACACATCAATGTCACACAAGCCAGTATGTCATCTTAGAACTGCCTTTGGATCTCTGTCCGGGGTCTCCTTACATTCAAAGCTTCACTCCATGAGAAAGCCTGGCTCCTTCTGCCCTCAGCTGTTCCAGATACTCCACTGGTGAATCTCTTACATCTTTTACCAATCTTAGGATCATAGATGGCTCTGGGGTGGGCAAAACTGCAGAGCATCCTCTTGTTTAAAAAGAGAATGAATAATTCATTCTTCTCTCTTTATACTGAACCTCTGGGGTGGGGGGGTGGGGTGGGGATAAGATCTGTAAATACCAGTAATGTGAGGCATCCTCTCCTGTTCCACATGAGAGGACAGGACTCTAACCTTGATCAAGGACAACTACCAGATGCAAGTGCCCTTGTTACATACAGAGAAAGGGATCTGGAAACACAGAACTCACTGTCTGTAACACATCCTACTGCCCAGCACCCCTAAGTACCCCAAGTTTCCCAGTACTTTTCTAGTTGCATATCCTACCCATTAAGAACTCTTTCACCTGGGGCTGGAGAGATGGCTCAGCGGTTAAGAGCACTGACTGCTCTTCCAGAGGTCCTGAGTTCAAATCCCAGCAGCCACATGGTGGCTCACAACCACCCATAATGAGATTGGATGACCTCTTCTGGTGTGTCTGAAGACAGCTACAGTGTACTCATATATAATAAATAAATAAATAAATCTAAAAAAAAAAAAAAAAAGAACTCTTTCACCTTTTGCTTCAAGGGAGCTCAGTTTAAACTGAGTTCTGGTTGTTGTTGGGTTGTTTGTTTGTTTGTTTGCTATATCCTTAAATAGTCTTCCTCGCATGCTTAAAAATTGCCTCTATGTCTGTCAACAGATGAATGGTTAATGTGGTGTATATATACACACAAAGAGTATTATCAGCCACAAGGAATAATAAAAATTTGTCATTTACATAAAAATAGGTGAAACTAGAGAACTCAGAAAGGCAAATAGCACAAGTTTCCTTATAAGGAAGTAAAGAGGAGGAGAGGGAGGAAGGTGAAGACAGGACAAGGACACAGATAAAAGGATATCTGATAAGGGAAGGGGGGTCAGAGGAGAGATGGTAGAGAAGAAAATGAAGGTAGAAGAGTTAACTATATAAGTACCTAGAGAAATCCAATAGTGAAGCCTGTTCATTTTACTGTTAAAATATGATCATAATCCATATAATTTCTAATCCCACTTTAGAACATTACAAAAAAGATCAGAGAGGAAAATAAGATATATTTTTTCCCTATTCAATCTGGTCATTTCACCTTAGACCTCTTCCCCATTCTTTCTTTCCATCCGTGTTGATTAAACAGATTCTCACCATGTTTACGTACTTAAATTAGATTCCTCTCTGCTTCTATTCCCTGGCATGATCAGTGAAGGACTCTCACAGCTGTCTCTAACAAGATGCCTAGGCTCACCTCAGCACACAGCACCCACAACCAAAACTACCCAACTTCTCTGCTGCCACTGACTGCTGTTCCAAACCTCACTTAACTGAAGCTTTTCACTTTCAGCCCTAGGGGCCTCTCCAGCCCAAAATGTTTTCTGGATTCACTAAGATTCTTTTCTCTCTGGGGCACCATTTAGTGCTTCCTCAAAAGAATGTCCAAATGAAATTCCAAACCATTGATTTTCTTTATAACAAATATCCCTCCTCAAAAGAAATTTAAAAAAAAAAAAAAAGATGCCTCCATGGGCAAGAACTTTTCCTGATGCATTATGGGATTGAAAATGTACAGGGATAATTAATTACTGAGGAACATTCTTTACTCATGAAAGGTAGGTCTCCATAAATAGATGGCAAAGTTGCTCTTTTGTGTTCCTATTTTCATTTTTGTTGCTGTGATAAAATATTCTAACAAAAGCAGCTTAGGAGAAAAGGGGTTTATTTTTTTTTTAGCTCAGAGGTTCAGGTTACATACTGTCTAGCAGGGAAATCAGTTGCAAAAGTTTGAGATGTTGTAGCCACAATAAAAAAAAAAATCCAAGCAGGAATTAATTACATGCGTGTTTGTTTGTACTCATCTTGCTTCCTCTCTTCTTTTACAGTTCAGAATCCTTGCCTATGGAATGGTGTCACTCATAGTGGACAGCCTTCTCACCTCAATTAACAGAAACTCGATAATCCTCCACAAACATGTTCACAAGCCACCTTGATCTAAGTAATTCCTCACTGATATTCTCTCACCAGGTGATGCTAGCGTGGGTCAAGTTAGCGATAAAAACTAGTCATACATGCTTCAGATAAATAAAAAATGGAATTAGAATATAATTTCACCAGCCACTAAGTCATAACTGGGTATCATTATTAGCCCCAAACATGTGTTCCACAGAAGTGCTAAAATGGTCAGTATTCACTCCCCTCCCCCTTGTTTGATTTTCCTAAGGTAGAAGTTCCTAATCAGGCAGAACAGGGTGGTCTTTGAATACAAATAAGTAAAATGTGCATATTCATTTCCACTAGCTTCTAACTGGAATTCGGCCAATGCACTTTCCAACACACAGACAAATAATAAGAGCCTTTCCCAAGAACCTCCTGTCACGACTCTCAGCATCACGGTCGTGCAAATTAAAGCTCCAGCTTTGCATTGCCCCAGACGGAAAAAGCTCATTTCCAAGCAGAAGGTTGAACACACAGAAAATTTCGAGTTATTATATTTGATTAAAAGAACATAGCCGGGCGGTGGTGGCGCACGCCTTTAATCCCAGCACTTGGAAGGCAGAGGCAGGCGGATTTCTGAGTTCGAGGCCAGCCTGGTCTACAGAGTGAGTTCCAGGACAGCCAGGGCTATAAAGAGAAACCCTGTCTCGAAAAACGAAGAACTAAAAGAACATAAAATCAGTTTAACCAACACTGCATTTTGTCCTAGCATCATGTCGGATTAACTATGAAAGATCTAAAACATGAGCCAAGTCAAAGAAAGGAGTCTTCTAGACTCCTAACATACATACCCCTGAAGCAGAGCCAGCCCTAGAGCCATCAGAGGATGGTGTGGTGTCAGTATGGGAATGAGAACAGGTTTGTCCGAGTGGAGATTATACTGTCTTCCTGCAGGGAACACAATTGCTCTATATCCTGATATGAGTTGTTTTATTCATCTTAAACAGGAAGCTGGAGTCAAGCTTCTTTGAACACTCATTTTTCCTTCTAAGTCAGTTCAGTTTTGTTTGTTTGCTTGCTTGCTCAAGACAGGGTCTCACTATGTAGCTCTGGCTTACCTAGGCTGGCCTTGAACTCACAGATACATCTGACTGCCTCTGCCTCCCTAGCACTGACCTCAAAGACATGTGCTACCATGGCTAGTTTTTAAATGCACGTTCTTATTTTGGTTTGGTCTTTTTTTTTTTTTTTTTTTTTTTTTTGGTTTTTCGAGACAGGGTTTCTCTGTGTAGTCCTGGCTGTCCTGGAACTCACTCTGTAGACCAGGCTGGCCTCTAACTCAGAAATCTGCCTGCCTCTGCCTCCCAAGTGCTGGGATTAAAGGCATGCGCTACCACCACCCCGGCAGGTCTTCACCTTTGAAGTAAAGCTTACACTTCACTTTACCCACAGGAAGCCCAAAGTAGCACACATACCCAGTGAATAGCCAGGTGTGGTGGCACACACCTTAACTACCAGCCCTGAGAGGTAAGTAGATATCTACTGCTTCAAGGCTAACCTAGTGAACACTTTGAGTGCCAAGCCAGTGAAGACACCATATTGATACCTGTCTAAAACAGACATACACACACACACACACACACACACACTAGATCATGTGTTTATCGAACCTGTTACATGCTAAGTGCGTCCCTTCTACTAACATTTCACATAAAGTCCTTCATTAAATTCTCACTACACTATAAATATTTTTTACTGTTTTGGAAGAGAAGAAACTGAGACTGAAAGATCAGCTAGACCACTAAGTTACTCGTCGCTTCTGTGAACGTGGAACTAGTATTTGGCCCTCAAGTCTGTACCCCTTTCAGGATGTCACACTGCATCTGTCACCATCTGTACTGGGGATATGGCTGAAAGAGGGGGAGTGATATGCCCCAGCCAAACAGACTGCTTAGAGAAGCCTGGAAGGAAACTGGAAGGTCACACTGAGGTCACTTGAGTCCATCTCCTTCGAGGTAGAAGGTACAAGGGGAAGAGACTCTTGTCTTAAGCACATGAGCCAGAGGTATATTATATATAACATATATTATAAATATATAAATGTATAAATATATTTATAATTAAATATATAAATATACGTAATTGTAATACCTAAATATATTGAATTTATTTATAATTCAGTCCATTGCAATCAATTTTCCCATTTAAATGCTTTTTAAGAAAGCTGCATTAGAATACTACTATATAAACACATATAGCACTGGTCATTATTTCTTCCGTTGCGCCTCAGATGAAGTAGCGGCTTATTTGTGAGTCCGGATGGCTAAATTATCTATGGAGGATAAGCAGTGTTTGCTTTTAAACCCTGACAAGTTTCACACTCTGTCGAAGCCTCGGGAAAGAGACCAAGTCAGATCTCTGTCTTTATAACTCCCTCTGAGGCATAGGCCACCAAGAGCATTTCAGACAAAATAAGCTACGCTTTAATCACAGGGATCTTTAGGGTCCCTTGGTGTATCAGTTACTTTTGTTGTTCCCGGGTTGAAACACCCTGAGAAGGCGACTGACAGGAGGAAGGGCTTATTTTTGCTTACAGTTCACAGGGATACCGTCCACCACAGCAGGAACGTAAGTCAGTAGGAACGGGAGACAGCTGATCGCCTGTATCTACGGCCAGGAAGCAGAGAAAGACAACAACAGGAAGTGGGGCTATGTCATAAAACCTAAAGGCCCACACCCACTGACCCACTTCCTCTCACGAGGCCCCATCAACCAAAGGGTCCACAACCCTTCCAAAACAGCACCATGGCGCAGCGAGGTGTCTAAGGTTTCAAACGCATGAGTCTATGGGGATATTTTTCAGTGAACCCACCTGGCATGTGTAGTTGGTTTTTATGAAAGCTGATTGTGTCTTGTATAGGAAAGAATGAGTATTGTTTCACTCTGTCGCTAACACGCCTGCAAGTCATTAAAGCAGGAAAGATGTTTGGCTTAAACTCTAGCCCCAGACTTGGCCTCTGTTTTCAGTCAGTACCAGATAAAGCCATTTATTTACTCAAGAGATATTCTTTGTAAGATTTCCCTGTAAGCTCTTTAGAAGAAATGTACACGCATTCATACAAAAGAGTCAAAACTATTCATCTCTTTCTGTCACTAGCCTTAGTTCCTATACTTACTAAAAATACCAGACCAATCCTGTAATTGATGGGTGTCTGGCTCCAATAGAGGCACTTTTGGAAAAGACAAGGCAGGTGGTCAATTATCTGACTCCCTTGCTGATGCCTCTCTACTGAGGGAGCTGTTTTCAAAGCCACAAAACTGCTTATCAATCTCTTTTAAAAGAATAGCAAAAAGCATCCATTATCATGTGTTCATAAGGATTAAAAATACTGAGCTGGGCTTGCTGTCTTATCCCCATATTCTCAGGATTTAAGGAAGTCTGTTTTGAGTTTAAAGCCAACCAACTACATAGTACAAACTACATAGTAATACTGCATAGCACAGTTAGTGCCTGACCATCCTGGGCTACAGTGTGAAACCCTCTCAAAGGAAAAAAGAAAGAAAGAAAAAGAAAAAAAACCACTAAGCCACACTGAACTAACAGTAACCTTTCGAGCCTGTTGTTAAATAAGTAATACCAACTGTACTTACAGATAGCTAGAGATACTTTTTCCTACACACACACACACACACACACACACACACACACACACACGAGAGAGAGAGAGAGAGAGAGAGAGAGACAGAGACAGAGACAGAGACAGAGACAGACAGAGACAGACAGAGACAGAGACAGAGATTGATTCTGAGACTCAATATAAGAACACACCCAGTTATTTAAAATTATTCAAAAATGTACTTAGCAGAGATTCTGGCAATCGAGAATAGAATACTTCTGCATACTTACTGTTGTTTACAGCATTCTTGCATCTGATCCACACCCCACCCTCACCCCCACCACCAAAGTGTCAGTCTGGGTCAGTCACAGGTCACCAGCTGCTCGGGCCTTTTTTATGAAGTAGACCTTGTTCATTCTGCACTCAGCTGCGGAATTCAAGGCAGTTTTAAGGATCCTGAAGGACAGACACCTGTTTGCCATGCCCCACAGATAGGAGAGGCAGAGAACCATTCATCTCAGGACTTAAGGACAGAGGGTCTTCCTCCCAGATCCCAACAGTCATTTAGTGTCTATTTCTCAGTTTTCACTTGTGTTTGGTCCTCACTGCAATAGAGGAACTCGGCTTGTCATCCACTATGAACTATAATACGTTGACTGGGCAGCTGAGTCAGCATCCGTGCCTGGCTGTGCTTTCTCTGATTTAACCTGCGTTCTTAGCAGAGCCCTGCTCAAATGACCTGCCAGGATGATTGTTCCCACTCCTTTAACAGTGGTTGCCTAAAGGAGCCCAGGTAATAATCGGTAGAGGGAAGCACACATACCTTTCAGGAGGATGAAAAGAAGGACAGGACACAGGAAAGAGGGAGAAACTGTGTTCTTTTGTTTCCTTTGTTTTGCTAAGAAACCATAGAACCCTCAAGGGAAAAATTATAAAGTCTCCCAAGTGTTCCTTATAATTTAACGCTTGTATAATCCTGGCTTGGGAGGAGGAAAGGTGGAAGAGGGTGGTGGGGGCAAGATGTAAATGTTCTCTCAATCTCTCAGTGCAGGTCAGTTCTAAAGTCCGATGAGCGAAACAATATCATAGTATCTTCTCTCCCAACTTCCATTCAAAACAAGCAAGTTGGTTTTTTGTTTTGTTTTTGGTTTTTTTTTGGGTTGTTTTTGGTTTGATTTTTTGAGACAGGGTTTCTCTGTGTAGCCCTAGCTGTCCTGGAACTCACTCTGTAGACCAAGCTGGCCTTGAACTCAGAAATCCTCCTGCCTCTGCCTCCCAAGTGCTGGGACTAATGGCGTGTGCCACCACTGCCCAGTGGCTGGCTTCAAGTTTTAATATTAACATCCAACTACTCTTTGGTTATTTTATACCTTAGTCAAAATACTGCAGTATGTACATATTTGTAATAAAAAAAATCATCCCAAGAGAAAACTAACCCATGTTTATGACTGCGTCTAAGAAATTCATTAATCCCTAAATTCCCATCCTCTAAACATTGTCTTCTGCCACCAGGACCCACCAGTATTATGTTGTGAGTCATTAAAACCTCTTCCCTATCAGCTTGAACCCAGCCCTGTTCATTTGTGAGTTAGGGTAAAAAACACTATCTCATTCCTAATTATTTTTACTGCAAGGAAACAAAAGTATTGGTAAAATGAGCTTGCAGTCGTCTGGCAATGGTATAAAACCTTAAGCTGGTTCTAGAATGAGCTGGATTTGACGTGGGCTTTATATCAAGGCAGCGATACACTCCCGAGGAACCAGAGCAGCATTGTCAGAAGCACATTCTACTTTGCAAGTTAAGGACTGATAAAACTAGATTTTTCCAGAGTCAGTTCCACCCAAAAGCATTCCCTTGGCTAAGTTTGGCTTCATTCTCGTGCAGTCAGCAGCAGGTCCACTTTGCTGATCTTACAAGATGGCACAAAGTCAAGAAGGAAAAATCAAACATGATTGGCTGAGCTCAAAAGCAGCGAAGTGTTTCAGACTAGGCAGAGGAAACAATCCTAAAGGGAAAGAATGGCCGACAAGGAAAAGTACCAGAGTTTGATTAAAAGGTTAAAGTGCCCCAAACTAGCATTGCACCATGGTACAGAAGTCCTTAGGCATACGAAGTAATTGTCCTGTATTTTTCTAAGCTTTTGAAGCATATTCTAACACAAATTTTAAACTGACAAAAGTTCTTCATTAGTTATGTATCTTGTTGCTATGACAAAATGCCTGGCGCTCTACTTACTTTCCTGTGGCTATGATGAAATGCACTGACCTAAAGCAACTTGGAGGAAAGTTTTTTTTTTTTTTTTTTTTTTGGCTTACGTTTCCAGGCTGTGGTCCATCCATTAGGGAAACCAGAGCAGGAACTTGCAGAAACCTTGGGGGAATCTGCTTGTCACCTTGTGGCTCACTCACAGGCCCAGTCTTAGCTAGCTTTCTTAAGTAGCTCAGATCACTGGCTGAGAAACTAAAAGTGTCACACACAGTGGGCTGTGCCCTCCTAAGTCAATTCTGACAATCAGGGCAGCCACACATAGACAAGCCCACAGCACAACCCAATAAAACAATCACTCAGTTGAAACATTTTCAGGTGGTTCTAGGCTGTGAGGTTGACAGTTGATGCTGACTAACAAGGACTTTGTGGTTGCAGGAAGGAAAGAGTTACATTGCAGTATCTTTTGAGGGGATAGATTCCATGATGGCAGAGAAGGCATGGGGGGGGGGGGATTCTAGTCACACTGCACACACTGGCTGGAAACAGAAAGTAAATAGGATGTAGGAGAAAACCCACGAAACCTCAAGAGCCATCTGCAAGTGACCAACTTTCTCCAGTAAATCTCCACGGGCTTCCTACCAACTAAGGAGAAGGTGTTAAAACACACTTGCCTGTGAAGGACATTTCACGTGGAAATCACTATAACATAGCAGTGTTTCTCCTAAAGATTACAGTCTGAGCCTAAGAGATGGAATGGTGCTTATTAACTTTGTGTGTCTAGAATCCATTGTCCTTTAATATAACCTTAACTAAGGAGATGCACTTCTCTTCAGGTTTCCTCAGACATGTCAGTCAGTTGAATGTAATCCAAAACCATCTTTTCAAATGAAGGATTCATATTTTAAAACTCTCCTTGATTTTCCTATTAATTCTCAGAGAACAAAAACCTTAATGCTTATGAATTATATGAATTTATGATACCAGCTTATAACTACCTCCATATTAATTTTTGACATGTACTATACTTAAAACAACTTCAACCTATTGCTTATAGCTGCAAAATGCTGAAGTACATGCATAGGAGAATGGCTAATTAAACTATGGTACAGCTACATACATATGACAAACATATGTGATATGGCAAAAGAACAAAAAGGATTCTTATAAAGTAACATCTGGTGAGATAGTTCTGCTGGTAAAGCACATGCTGTATAATAATCAGCACACTCACACAAACACCTACATACACCACACACTTATACATCCATCCATGTATGTGTGCATACAGTAAATTATAAAAGTAACATATGAAGAATGTTAACTGTACTTTTCAACTTATAGTAAACTTCCTAGTCAATCAACCCATCAGAACTTTAAGATATTATGACTCCAAAATGCATGTTTGGCTGCTTGTGCAGCTCACTGGTAGAATATTTGCCTAATATGCATTAGTCCTTAGGGTTGGCCGCTAGGAGTTCCACCAAAAAGGAAAGAAAGAAAGAAAGAAAGAAAGAAAGAAAGAAAGA